CTGAAGCAACAGGTGGTTGGCCTCGTCATCGAAGCCCCACTGGCAGATGGCAAGGGTGGCGCCGGCGTCCTTAACCTGCTTGACCATCTGGGTAAACTTCTCCTGCTCGTACTCGCGCAGGGCCCTGTAGTCCTCCGCGGAGGTAACATCGAGCTTATGCTTGGTCTTTGGCTTCGGGGGCTCAAACGGGCAGGTGAGGATGGCCAGCTTGACGTTCCTCAGCTCCTTGGGCATCTGGGAATGGCTAAGGGTCTTGTCCACGATAACACCCTTCACCAGCATAGAGTCCTCCATGCGACCGCCCACCTTGGTCTCGATCTTGATGAGCTCGAAGTTCACGTCCTTCTTCTCGATGTCGGCCACATTCAGCACGGCATCCACAGCCATCTCGGCCATCTGACGGTGGCACTTGTTCACGATCTTGCTGCCCAGCGTGGTCATGGCGATCTGGATCAGTGGCTCCTTGTTCTTTGGGTCCACGGGGAAGGGTTGGGCGATCGCGTCCAGCTGCTTGATGGCGCACTGGGCGGCCAATTCGAAGCCATCGGCGATGCGAATGGGATGAATGCCCCTGTCGATCAGTCCCTCGGCCTGCTCCAAGAGTGCTCCGGCCAGAACAACAACGCCGGTGGTTCCGTCTCCGATCTCGTCGTCCTGCGACTGCGACAGCTGCACCATCAGCTTGGCGATCTCGTGGTCAACCTCCATCAGCTTCATGATGGTGGCACCGTCGTTGGTCACAGTCACATCGCCGTCGGGGCTGACCATGATCTTGTCCAGACCCTTGGGACCCAGCGAGGTCTTCAGGGTGGACGCGATCTGGCGGGCGGCCATAATGTGCGTCTATAGGAGGAAAAATTGATAAATTAGCAACTACTTAGGGTACATCATATTACAATTACTTATAATCAGTGTGGCACATGTTCTTAAATTTTAAGTTTAAATCAACTTTAACTTAAATGATATTTCTAATTGGATTCCAGAATATTCCATTGACTTAAGGAAGTCTAGAATAAACATTCACAATAAGTTTCATAGAAGAGCATAAGAATCTACAGCAGATGGAAGTGTTGGTCTTTTTGGGCATTTCAGTGGCTTTTCTTCCAAACTTTTCGCAGTGCGCGTGACTCAGCCGGCAATGAAAGAAAAACATCTGGGCGGCGTTTTAACCTCAAAATCGGCCAGACAAATTGGTTTTTCCAAATGCATTGTTTATCAGTGCAACTGAAGAATGAAAGCTTTTTTGGAGGAATAGCTCACTATTTAAGAATGATAATCCTAGCGTATTATAGGATATTAACAGCAGACAGTCTATTTAAAACCGGCTTTTTAGAACATCTGGAATGTTCCACAGACGATGCGTCACTCCTGAGACTCATTGAGCACAACAATTTGAGGAAGGACATTTGCCTGCGAATCTGTTCCTAATCAGCTCGTTCATGATGCGGAATCCACCGCCAGGAGGTGGTAAATCGCGGTTTCATTTACCTTTATGGCATCTGTTCCTGTGATGCGCTTTTGGCGCTCCTGATCGCGAAGAATTATGAAAGGCCGACCATATTCGTCGAACGCGAACGTACCGGGAAAGGCGCTCATGGTTTTTTAGTTAAAAGGATGACGGATTCGCACGTTTTTCCAAGATTTAATTCCCGAGTTTATTTTATTCCAACGAACGAACGAACGACAGATCCTAAATTTGACCAAACGCTTTGTGGCTAGGGATGGGAGAAAGACCATAGTTATATCGATACAGATACATGTCTGTAAGAATTTACTATTTCAGATTTTGACACATAAAATATATGAAAATTCAAAGTTAATGACATCCTAAGTGATTTGTTAAACAGAAAAGGAGCGTGTATATAAACTGTAACAAATTCTACAAATATGTAACATTTGATAGTGTCCATCCCTAGCTTGTGTTCCGTCATTGCAACTAGTGTGACCAAACGCCGCGAGGTAAGATGCCCTAAAAAAAGTCGAAGAAAAACCTATAAAATGAATGGCACGGCGGTATTTTCCTCAGTTTTATACCAACCTTTGACTACATCAGATCACAGATTGCTGGGAGGTTTGCACCCCAATCAAAGTTTTACCACAAAAGTTAACTTTCGTTCGACTCGATTTCTTCTCAGTGCGTTAAGTTGCAACCATTAAGTGTGAAAATGCCATCCAATATGAATAATAAACTGTAAGTAATGGTATCCAAATTGGTTGCCATACACGACGAGATAAAGTGCAAAGTCGATTTTGTAGTGCGATGAAAAAAAAAAAATAAGAGAAATGAAAATAGTGCGAGGGAGTTCACGACTCCATTCCATTCCAATTGGTGGCAAGTAGGCTTGGTTGTAATGGTTTGTAGTGCAATAGTTTAAGTGTAACCTGCTAATAAATCGGGTAACGGTGTTGGTTGATTTTCTCACGTACGCAGACGCACATACCCACACATCTAACCAAGTGCAGCTGTGTGGGTCAGTATGCTTTTTTTTTTATACTGTAAAGTCATCTGTGACGCACACAGAGGCAAAAACAAAGAGCATGACGGAAATAAATAATGGAAATTGTGGCCATGTACATATGTGTGGTGGCACGTTTCGTAAGTAAAGTAAATAATTGATTTCAACCGAGACTATGAAATTTAATTTTTTACTTTATTATGCTTTATTTATTTACTATTTTGGCTTCTGTTCAAGATGGCCGCCCGCAGCGTTGCCACTTGCTTTGCGCTGCTTTAGTACTTTTTCTGATTATAAACACAAATAAATAACGTTAATCCGCTTGCATTAATGCTTTATTAATACTTCTGTTTGCAGGCCATGTTTATTAATTAATTAGCGCAACCAACATGTTTGCGCATCTGGCAACGCCGTGGCCCCTCATTTATTTACAGTTTGAACCCCCGTCCAATTGGAGAACCCATAACATCTGTATATCTACATGTGTGTGTTTGTGTGTGTGTGTATGTATGTGTTTTCTCTATTCTTTGTTTACCTGTTTCTTTTCCATGGGAAATGGCATTTGGCAATTTCGCTTTATGCAATCCAATTGGAGAGGTTCTCGGTAATAACCGGTATTTCTTATGTTACTTATTATTTCAAATCGATTTTCTAGCCTTTCAAGCTCTTCATTTTTTTCTGGGCTTGCATCTTGGGCGGCTTTCATTATGTCATACAACAACAAACACAAAAGCACGCACACAAGAATAACCGCTGTAAACAAGGGAAAATTCCACTCGCCATTGCAGTTTCGCATTGTTGTGGATAGGCGAAAGAGGGATGGATATATGTGCTTGCATATGTATATGTAGAGGAGCGATATTGGGTCATCGGCATGTGTTTCTAGCAGCTTCTGTGGTCTCCTTTCCCAGCTTCTACCCTTCATTCCCTCTTATCTTATCTTACGGAACCTCACAAGATCTTATCACTTATCTCGCCTATTGTTCTGGTAATACCATATAACAATTTCCAGTGCCCGTGTGTGCTTTATGACATCTTGCTTTTGTCTAACCATCCTGCTTGCTGTTTGCTTAGTACACTTCGTCTTTTACGATTGTTTTTCCACTGTCGAAAGATTGTACCTGATCCCCCAATATTTGTCCAAGCAGAACGACCAGTTTAGATGTTGATTACACAAGCGCACCAATAACGTGCTCTTATCGGCTACTTTTCCTATCTAGATCTAACATGGATGGAGATCTACAAAGATCTGCTTTGCCTCTTTTACTTCAACTGAGCTGCATTGCAGTTTCAGAGACAGTTGAAAAGCTTAATACATGGATTTCCCTTTAAAGACTTATCTTTTACCCATTAATTAGGGTAGTTTCTTACTTATCGCTTGTATGTATCAAGTCGACGACACGTGATCAACGATGAAAGATAAGCTTAAGTACAAACGATTGCATACAAAAATATGGTAACGGTACTATACACGTTTTTCTGGCACATTTCAGGGCACAAAAATAGATAAGTTAATTTTATTCTATTTAACTACATTATCATACATCATAACATGAGTACTTTTTGTTTTAAATCTGTATAAATATTCTATGGAAAACCCCTGTGAATAATACCTAATTTGGTTTATAAAGCCTTTTACCTGGTTGATTGATCTCCTAATAAGGTTTGTTATTTGATTGGACTGAAACATATTGAAAGATTTTCAATCAAAGCAAGCCAGCAATTATAAAGTCCAGTTTATGTCGATAGATGCCACTTTTTATTGATATTCGTTTGTAGTTATTGAATGACCTCAGCTGTTCGTTTACATATGTACAGATCTATTTATATGTACATATTCATATTAATTCATATTAACAATAAAGATAGGTCGTCACGTTGATTTCTATCCCTTTTTACCTTCTTAGCCCCTGCTTATATTAAGCCCAGCTATATATTTTTATTTATGGCAGTTATCGCTAATATATGTTAGCCGTTTGTTTTGGTACATTTGGTACGAAAACAACGGCAGACACGTGTAGCCAAAAAAATGTGGTCGGGTTTTCGACTGAATTAGCGCAAAAAACTAATATTTCTTAGACTTTGTATATTAATGTTTATGGATATTTATAGCCAGAGCTCTCTCCGTTTGTTTTGTTTGCCCATTGCAAATACAAATGCTGCGCCTGCCGGCATTTTTACTTATAGTTATTTGCGCCTTTTTTGTTTAGCAATTCACCCATATTTTGTGTGCAGCACGAGGCTCCATTTAACCTTGGGCTCTGAGTCACCCCTCATCCCAATTCAGATCCATATCTTCTGACCGGTCGACTGTACCCGTACTCTCCGGAATATTTGTATATCTCTCGGATATAACTAAGGGTATGCAGCTACATACATATGTATGTACGAATGTAGATATATCGTGGGGCCTCCTAGTCGCTGCTACTTGATCAGATAAATGATGCCGCCACCGTTTGGATGTCGTCAGTCGCCAGACAAACGCCCAAAGCACAGCACCTCACAGATCAGCGAGCAATCTCCATATCGCCAGTGGCGGAGAGGCACAGAAACCAGGCTACAACACTACAGATACATATCCAATCGCATCACATCTTTTCGATGTGAGTTCCAAGCCCCGCCGAAGGACCGAAAGCAACGCAATCTGTGATAGATAAGGAGCACATACCAGAAGGCAGATAGTAGACTGCAGCTGTGATAAATCTAAACCGGAGACTAAATATTTAACTTGGCCATGACGACGTCGAGCGATGTGGTGGCGCAGCCAGATAGCCAGGGCCATAGCCAGAAAGAAAACGAGAACCAGAACCTCTTGTGGTACGTCAGCAGAGCCCCTTTTCCTTTTATTAATTGCGAAAGCATTTTTAATTGGCTTGCACGTGCCATCGATTCGGGGAATTATTACTTGCCCCCAGCCCAGGCAAACACATAAATTGCATCCATTAAGCATTGAACTATGTACATATGTACATGCATCCATCTGGTGGTCACTGTTCCCATTCAGGCCTCTATTTCGCTCAATTCACAATGCTCTGCCAAGTGCGCAGTTTGTTGATTTAATTGGCTTGGCAGAAAGGAAAAACACCAACACAGCAAGCAGAATAACAAAATGCCTGGCATATTTCACACAAAGTCTGCCGGCAAACAATACACAAATGTATGTAGATACATACGATATACAGAAAGCGTTTATAGTAGAGGTATCTGTATTTTTGTGCCGTCCTCATTGAATGTCTGATTAACACCTAGAACGAGTCTAATCGAATCGAATACATATGCGAATAAGTGAATAAAGAGAGCTGTCCGTCGACAGTCCAGAAACCATTTAATATCACTGTCATGGAATTGCTCTCTTTGTATAATATTCGACGATGCACTATGAGGCTGACTAACCAAACCACTAAACCCAGTTCCACTTCCAGTTCGTCTGGCGTAACCTTTTGTCCTGTCTGTCCTGTGGTGCTAGCGCTCCAGCTATTCGCTTTCAGATCCTCCACGAATTGTGAAATGAAGAGAGCTATCCGTCGACAGTCAAGTTAATACCGATTGTAATACTGTCATGGAATTGCTCTCTTTGTATAACATTCGAAAGGCGACGATTAGATTATATCGAATTGATGTGCTTAATTTTAGGCCAAACTTGTGAGCGTCCTCTGGTTATGGTGCCTAATCCTTCCCACCTTTCAGGTGATTGCTTTGACAACAAACAGTCTGCGTTTTCAAATTCAAATTTCTTTGTATTCTTGGCTTCTCTGCCTGATAAATACTTTACAAAATATCCGGAGAAGTTCGACCCGCCCGCTAATAATATAGTGCCCGCAACTTAGAGAATAGAAATGCGTTGTTCGGTAGGCAGTTCCTACAGGCCGCCGCGTCCTCGACCGCCGGTGGGTCCTCCCTGCCATGCTCCGCGTCCGCCGCTGCCGCCCGGAGCTCCTGGTGGTCCACCAGTGCCCCTTCCGCCGCCAGGAGGTCCTCCTCTTCCTCTGCCACGAGCTGTAAAGGGAATTTCGTTATTAATATTTGTAGTTGGCTGAGGGCATCACACACACTGCAACATACAATTATTTTCTAATCTCAATTCACCTGGCTCTAATATTTTTTTTAGCTTTTACTTCTTAAAAACAAATGTCGACACAAACTTACTGCTTTCGTTTCTTATTTAACATTACCTAAAATTTGCATCTAAGACTTTGAAAGTAATTAATTAACTAGAACTAACCATCTCACTTACAGAAAAACTAAAACCTGCATTATTATATTTTTGTAGCAAATATGTTTAAAAATATATTGGTTTAAAAAAAAACTCAACTTTACTTTGTTAACGACTAAAGAAAATTTAATATGTGGTTTTAGAGATTGGGATAGGAAATGTTTTACTTAACTGCGTTAAACTTCTAGTTAAAAGGCAATTTCTTTAAGCTTTTTCGGAAGAGCGCATAAAACGCATAAAATATTTTTATGTTTTTAAAGACTGTCGTGCAGAGTGTGTGTTTGTGTGGGCCAAAGTGCCCGACTCACCCTGTGCGCGCAGAATGGCCGCCTTGCCCCGTCCCGCCGTCCCACCAAGTCCCTTGCCCGTCTGCTTCTTGAACATCGGGGCATTTTTCAGCATGTCGGGCAGTATGAGGAATCGGATCTTGGAGCCGCGGATGTAGACGTTCTCCAGGTTGGCGGTGCGTCCGTCGCGGTAGGTCACCGTGATCTGGGTCATCTGGCAATTCATGTTGTCCTCCGCCTCGATTAGTTTGCCGCGGTACACCTCGCCGGTAATCGTTTCGCAAGTGATTATGTGCCCCTCGGCCTCGTGCAGAACTTTAATGGGAACTCCGATCGACATGTTTGATTGGTTCTATATTGTGTTGTCTGTTCGTGTTGATTTACTATAGATTTTTCACTGTTTTTCCTACGAGCCGCAAAATTTTTTCTCCGCTTTTCTTTGGGCAAACGTTTACGCCGAGTGTCTGTCTGTATGTGTGCTCCCGCTTTGACAGCTGCCGGTGGCCATCTTGTGGTGAAATTGGCGCGTGAGAGCAGGGCTGCATTCGCTGCGTGACTATCGGGCGCAGCTTATCGGGTTTCCGATGAGACGCGCGCGTATCTAATCGCTTTAAAATAAACAACTGCAATTTGGTAACGTCATAAAGGGGAAATAATTTAATGGCTGATAAGCCTTTTGTTCTGCCTTCGTGGCCATCAGTTTGTTAGCAGCTATTGCGACGTTCACCCACCAATTGAGTTTTACTCTACATCATGTTGTGGTAAATATTTGTGAAAATTTGGCGTTTTTAAAATCTATCAATTCATCATAATAAATGTATATTTAGTCTTTTTTAAATATTCCTATTGCTACATTTGTTTAATGGAAAAGAAAATCTTTATTCCAATATGCAAGTATTCATCACACATATGTTTTTTATTTAACGAAAATATAAACTTTCAAGCAGTTGGAGGGGCGCTACAAAATCGAGCAGGCACTTCCCAGTTCGATATGGGTTTCTGACTATATAACCAATTCCTATTTCCACAGCGACCCAGTGTTTAGTAGTGGCTTCGTTAGAAGAGAGTTTAATGACAGCGGAATTGCCGATGGCAAGCTCCGCACCATCTCGACTTCGTCTTGCGCCACGACCATGTCCTCGGATTCCTACCGCATCTCTCTCGGCGTAGGGCCTCTGTGGTGGTCCTGATGTCCCTGTCCACCACAGAACAGATCACGATAGGGCATCGCTCTTAGCGGGTGAGTAAAAATGATCCATGTAAAGGCTATTATCCTAAAACATGATATTTTTCGTAGGCTACAGCCGTAAGTCTTCGGTCGATTCGGCTGGCGGCAGCCTCTACCAGGCCAGCTCCCGGGCGTCGTCGTTGTCGTCCTCCCAGTCGGATTGCTCCGATTTGGAGTCGCAGCCCGACATCCACTCGCTGTGCTCGGACGATGACTGCCAGGAAGTGCTACGCCTGATCTTGCAGCACGACCAGCCGGTGCAGATTACCATCAAGCTGCATGTGACCGAGGACCAGTACACCAATTGGAACACGATTTTGAACCCAGTCAACAACTTGTTGTATGTCGCTCTGCCGAAGGATCTTCCTCCGGCCGGCTCCAAGCAGACCTTCATCTCGCTTTTGGAGTTCGCCGAGGAAAAGCTGGAGGTGGACGGCATCGTTATGGTCATGCGCAAGGATCAGCCGGAGCGGGCTCGCCTCATCGAGGCATTCCTGTTCATGGGCTTCGAGCCCCTGTCTAGGAAGGCACCGCAGGCACCACCGACTGCCATTAACGACAACGAGAATCACTACTTCCTCTACAGCATCGAGGAGTAGTTCGTTGGCAAGGGGACGATTTTCGCAACAGAAACGACAACGAAGAAGAAGTAATATCAGCAGCAATCCAACAATATTCTGTTCGTAGTATCCGCAAATAACTTTTATTAGCTTACCGTAGATCCAATGACATATTGACCCCAATGTGTTCAGTGAAAAGCAAAACAATCCTTTTTGAGTCTTCGTGTTCTTGTAGTCGAAAATCGTTTTGAAATTGTCTTCGGAGCGGCTTCATTTTTGGTAGACTTTCAATTATGGCCAGCAACGTTAAGAGCCTGATCGCAAATTACTATATTAAACTATATCGAAAAAATCGAACGAAAATGTAAAAAAAAAGTAGAAAACTAAAAAAGGTAAAAAAAAATGTATTAATTCTAAGTTTATTCGTGAAACAATATTTTGTATTTATGTTTTCATTTTCGGTCTTATCACTTTATATATATTTTTCATGTTTTTTCCATATTTTATATTTATGCTTATATATGATGTATTGTAATCCCAATTTGTTCACACTATATAATATTATATATACTTTTATTCACTATTTGTACGTCTAGAGCGACGAGAACGGCAAAGTAGAAGATTTTGAGGATAGAAAGGGAAAAGCATATGCATAGAAGCTAATTACATAGACCAGCAAAAAAGCCACATACACTATATCCAATATTAATAAACTTATTAATCAATAGATTCCACACCAAGCTAGCAACGAAATCAGTTCTTTTATTTATTCCACTTTGTATGTATCATTTTTTGATTCCAATAATAAAACACATAATGACTTAACAGAACTTTTGAATTGTCGGCTGAGTATTTAAATGTTTCGTTTATGACGCCCACATTTAGTGCGCAATATTATTGTTTTTTGGAAGTGTCTCGAGTGGAACATGGCCGAGACTTATGATTAAATTAATAGCCCAGATTGCCTTACCTTTCGTTTGGAGATAAGAGGAATATCCGTTGAAGTGTTATGTGTTCTACTGTTTAAGAAGTGAACCCATATGATTGCAAGAGATAACCATTAAGGCTGCGCAGTCTGTCTTATAAACACTTTGCTAGATAATTTGTTATCAGCAAAAAAGAGGGATTCCAGATCTACAAAGGCGAGAAACTTGACGTCATCGCCAATATCAATGAGAAATCATCAGTCATTGATTGTGGGGCCCTGAAAAGGAGAGGCAGCTTAAAAATCGGACTGTCATGTTCACAGTAAGTCTTAAAAGCCATTATTGCACTTTTCGCTTCAATGACTGATGTGCAGAGCTAGATTTATAACTAGGTGATAGCCTTATATTATCTAATGCGTTATAGTACGCAAGTCTGAGAGTAACTAGTTTTTTTTATCGCTAGAATGTAGTCAGTGACTCAATATTAACTTCTGATTTGATGAGACTGATGGATAGTAGTTCTAAGTTGGTTACTGTTCCTCATCAAATTGTGAAGCTTAAAGTGGTGTGTTGGGAAACTGCAAGGCCTAAGTACTTTCCCAGCTAATCTCGGCTTGGAAATCATACAACAGCTGTTCACTCCACTGTGCGTCTGCCCATTTAATGGGCGATAAAACTTGCCGCAGTCGAAAGCGAACCGAATATATACCCATCTATGTGATATGATGGCCAGGGGCACACACATGAGGAGATAACGATATAAACGGCAGCGGAAGAGGCTCTGAAAAACAGTCGAGACTGGAGCGTCGCTGAGTTTACACGATTCGAGAGCTGAGCAAGTCCACGGAAGACAATATCCCGGAGTTATCATGTTGAAGGCGGTGAGTGTGGCTCCAGGTTCCAGGTTCCAATGGGCGAACCTTATCTAATCGCCGATTCAGATATGAGTGCTTTAATTTAATTCACTATCAATCCCTTTCGATTCGCCTTGATTGCCCCGGATGTTGGCCAATGCAGATTATCGTTTTTGCCACTATCTTGTTGGCCGTGGCCTTGGCTATGCAGCCATTGGAGGACAATGAGAGGAACCACCATCTGAACCACAAGCGCCAGTTGTCGCACCACCACCAGAAGTCACAGGAGGTGAGGCATTCGGCCCACGATAATCTGAGTCCTGGCAAGGAGCTGCACCAGAGCGGCTCCCATGTAAAGGAGCACGCTGGCCATGGACAATCCCACCACCACTCTCAGAGGAAGGCAAGACAGAGCCACAAGGAGCCGGGCCACAAGAAGAGCCACCACCAGAAATCCCAATCCCACTCGAAGGGCAGCAAGAAGCATCACAAGCGGCACACAGGATCGCGTCGCCACTAGGATGTGGACCAAGGATGTGGCCAATATATATTCTATTTAAACTCTAGCTTATGTGTATTATGCTCTGTCCGCACGAAGGATTCCCGATGCCAAAATGGACGCGGAGCTTGAAGGAAGAGTTCACACGAATTCCGAATACAGTAACCATTCGTATTTTTGCATGTTTAGAGACAGTAAACCCAATCTATTTAAATGTATACAAATGTATTGTGACATATGAGCCATGACCAAATAAACTCACATTTTATAAATGATATTACTGCACAAGCAGCTTAAGCTATCAATCTAGGAATCGGATACACATACAACATTTATATGTAAACTTTAAATACGGCTAGAGTTTCAGAGTTTAATAGTCGCCACTTGATTATAAGTTGAAAATAGCTTATGGCCATAACTATTATCTATAGTATCAATTCCTAGAAACTTTACAAAGAGATAACGCTCTATATAAATATACTTCTGGCTGTTATCCAGTGTATAGCCCAGCTTTCTTGTGACCCCGTTTATGGTCCGAACATTGGCCATGCGGATCGTTAAAGATAGGTCTAAGTAAAGGTTCAGAAGGTTAATTACTTGGCTTGGCCAACTCGTAATTTTGCTGGACCGCGTATGTTACGTTGGCCGCCTCAATTTCTTCGGAAGCGCCGACCAGGTCCCAAAAAAATCCGGTTTTGGACAATTGAAATTTGAAAATAATAAACCGCACATGCGAGCGTAGTCGTACATAAAGTGCTTTGTTTTTATTGCAATAAAGCCGGTGTTAATTGTGCTCTGGGGTCAAAAACTCCGCTGACGTCATTATCGCGGTTGCAAGACAGTGAAAGGGTTACAATTTTAAAGGGGCTTCTATAGTTTCTTTGGTCACTAGTGCGATTACATAGGATTTTCTGGGTTAAGGAACGTTTGTATGTCTGGCAGCGTAATGTTGCACTATTTAGCCCCAAACTGGGTAAATCCGGGGACGATAGAAGCCGCCACCATAGGAACGATATCCGCCGTAGCCTCCATATCCGGAATATCCGCCGTATTTGTAGCCCCCTCCGTAGCCACCGTAATAAATGGGCGATGGAGCTGCGTAGTATCCGTAGCCAATGGTGTCCGCAGTGGAGAGATCAGCCTCCTCAGCAGGTTTCTTCACCTAGTAGGGGATTGGATTTCACAGGCTGGTTGGGAAATGTGGAACGTATAATATGACATGCGGACCTACCTCTATAGGACCTGCGCTGATGGATCCGATAATAACCAGGCACAAAAGGATGGAAAATAACTGAAAATGTTCACAACAGTTAGTAATTTTGATAGAACAACTTGGTTTCAGAGCAATACCTTTGCCATTGTTTCTCTTATTTGCGAAATTTCACGGGGATGTACTCTAGATTTAATATTTTTCTCTCAAATTAGCAACTTATCCCGATCGTGTTCTGGCCAGAATCGTTGTTGCCCGTAAACTGTGATTCCCATCGACCCACCGACAATATTTATAGTGGCCCAAAACGTCCCGGAGATCGATTTCGCACATGATCATTGATTGGCCAAACATTCCGGAGTCTGGGGATGTCGTTACCCGGCGGGAAATGAGGTGTCCCATATTCCAGGGTCAGGCTGATGACTCGATGGGATTTACTAATTCGGGTAATTAAACTTCTAAGCTACAGTGAGCATTAGCTAATAGTCGAAGGAAAATTTATAATTTAACCTTTCTTGAAGACTTTTTGTCAGCGAAAGTCTACTGTGTGTTTTCAGTTTAGTCATTAACAATAATATTGACGCACTACACTAAAATGTTCCTAATTATTGCCATTAACACATTCGTTGACAAGCTGATTTATTTGATTTAATTACAAGGATTTAGGCTGCATCAAATGTGCTAATATCTCTATATTCTTGACTACTACAATACAAAATAATTTAATGGAGTATAGCTAATTAGTTTTCACAGAAAGTTTATCAAAGTTCATTATAAAACATAAAGATGATACCTTTCTACAAAATTATATTTTTTAATAATGAACACGAAATAATTTGGTAGCCAAAATCCACTATTTTCGGATTAATGGAAGTTTTTTTTTAAGAAAATGGGAAAATTTATTAGCACTCTGCGCTGTTACCTTGACTGCTTGTGTCACCTCTAGACTGTTCAGTATTTCACCTAAGCCTGCGATAGACGATAAACGTCTATTGCATAGTGTGACCGTTCTACCATTTTATAAATGGCTGCCGCATGAAAAAATAAACCACTCGTTTTGCGAACCGGAAAAATTGTGAATTGCGGCCAAAGAACAGTAGAAAAAGTGCAAAATAGGCAATAAAGTTACAAGTTAACTGCCAGGTAAGAAATTCAACCAAAGTTTAGCTGTGGAAAAAGCGAAATACACGTCTTTTCGCGACGTGGTGAAAATTGCAAAAGACCGCGACGTCGGCGGCGGCATTTCGATTTCTCCCCCTGGAACAAAACGTGTCTGTGTGTCGTAAAGTGCATGTTTCTCCGTTTATTGATTAGGATAAGTGCAGCGGAATAATGTCTATTCCGCCGTACATGATGCCGCAGAATCCGTGGGCGGCCCAGCTGATGGCCCAGCAAGCCTACGCCGCAGCACACGCTCAGCAGGCTCAACTGCACGCCCAGCAGCAGATGGCCAACCAGATTCAGCAGATACCGCCACCTGGGGCGCCGCTGCCGCCGTCCAATGGCCACCCTAACGGGATACCCGTGCCAGCAGCAGGTCAGGGGCCCGGATTGGGCCAGATTCCCACTCCCAAACCGGACGTACTGACCGAGGAGAAGCTCCAGGAGAAGGCCCTTAAATGGCAGCATTTGCAGTCCAAGCGATTCGCTGAGAAGCGCAAGTTTGGCTTCGTAGATACCCAAAAGGAGGATATGCCGCCGGAGCACATCAGGAAGATCATTCGGGACCACGGTGATATGACGTCGCGCAAGTATCGTCATGACAAGCGAGTCTACCTGGGCGCCCTGAAGTACATGCCACATGCAGTGCTCAAGCTGCTGGAGAACATGCCCATGCCATGGGAGCAGATCCGTGATGTCCAGGTGCTGTACCACATCACGGGAGCCATCACCTTTGTGAATGAGATTCCCTGGGTTATTGAACCCGTCTACATTGCCCAATGGGGGTAAGTTTTTCTTTAGTTTTTCGCTGTCGACCCAACTGATGCTACATATTTCCACAGAACAATGTGGATAATGATGCGGCGTGAGAAACGCGATCGTCGCCACTTCAAGCGCATGCGATTCCCGCCCTTCGACGATGAGGAGCCACCTCTAGACTATGCCGACAACGTACTGGACGTGGAGCCCTTGGAGGCCATTCAAATTGAGCTGGACAATGATGAAGACAATGCCGTATACAAATGGTTTTATGACCATCGTCCCCTAGTGGATACGCAGTGAGTTTTGATTTGGCATTTTTAGTTGATCTTCTTTTGATTCTTTTCTTAAATGACTAAGGTTTGTAAACGGCACTACATACCGAAAATGGAATCTTTCCCTGCCCCAGCTAGCCACGCTGTATCGATTGGCCAACCAACTGCTTACGGATTTAGTGGACAATAACTTCTTTTATTTGTTTGACCCCAAAAGTTTCTTCACTGCCAAGGCTCTTAATATGGCCATTCCAGGTGGACCCAAGTTTGAGCCCCTCATTAAAGACCACAATGTTGGGTAAGACAATGCATGCCCTGGAAACTTGATAAAATGTAATTTCCACTTTTATCTTTTTAGGGATGAGGATTGGAACGAGTTCAACGATATTAATAAAGTCATCATCCGGCAGCCAATTCGCACGGAATACCGCATTGCCTTTCCGTATTTGTACAACAATATGCCGCACTTTGTGCATTTGAGCTGGTAAGATCCCACATTCCTCCAATATGATTATTCTAACATCTTATTTACGTGGTCAAGAACGTTTCCAAGTGAACAGCCTCTCTGGAAATGCTTCATGCCGCGTTAGAAAAACGACGAGCTCTCAGGTTACTGCCAAATTTGCGATAAACGGGAGCTGCAATGAATATGTTCGTGGCGATTGTTAAGAATTAATCGTGACTGCTGATAGTTGCATACATTTAAACTCACTTGAAGCTTAGAGGATCCACATAACCGATGTACTGTGTCTATTACAGGTATCACACTCCCAACGTGGTCTACATCAAGACCGAAGACCCTGATTTGCCCGCATTTTACTTTGATCCGCTCATCAATCCCATATCCCATCGCAATGCAAACTCCAAAATTCAGGAGCCACTTCCGGATGACGATGAGGACTTTGCTCTCCCGGACGATGTGCAGCCCTTCCTGCAGGACACCCCCCTGTACACTGACAATACTGCAAACGGGATCGCCTTGCTATGGGCTCCCCGTCCCTTTAACATGCGCTCTGGTCGCTCCCGTCGTGCCATCGATGTGCCGCTGGTCAAGTGCTGGTACAAGGAGCATTGCCCGCCTGGTCATCCGGTTAAAGTGCGCGTTAGCTACCAAAAACTGCTCAAATACTATGTGCTCAATGCCCTAAAACACCGCAAACCAAAGCCCCAAAAGAAACGGTGAGTTTTATTAATGTCAAACTATAGAAATGTTTTAAAGTGTTACTTTTCTTGGCAGCTACCTCTTCCGTTCGTTTAAGGCCACAAAATTCTTCCAGACCACAACTCTGGATTGGGTTGAGGCTGGATTGCAAGTTTGTCGTCAGGGTTACAACATGCTGAACCTCTTGATTCACCGAAAAAATCTTAACTACCTGCATTTAGATTACAATTTCAACTTGAAACCTGTAAAAACTCTGACAACCAAGGAGCGTAAGAAGTCGCGATTCGGAAATGGTAAGTTGTTTTATTTTTAATACTTTTCCGTTTAACAAATCAATTCTTTCTATTAGCTTTCCATTTGTGCCGTGAGATCCTGCGCCTGACCAAGCTAATCATTGACTCTCATGTTCAGTATCGGTTGAACAATGTGGACGCTTTTCAGTTGGCTGACGGGCTGCAGTACATATTCGCCCATGTCGGCCAACTGACTGGCATGTATCGCTATAAATACAAGCTAATGAGGCAGATTCGAATGTGCAAGGATCTGAAACATTTGATATACTACCGCTTTAACACAGGACCCGTGGGCAAGGGACCCGGATGTGGCTTTTGGGCTCCTGGATGGCGAGTCTGGCTGTTCTTTATGCGCGGCATCACTCCGCTGCTGGAACGCTGGCTGGGCAATCTACTGTCACGTCAGTTCGAGGGTCGACACTCCAAGGGTGTGGCCAAGACGGTAACTAAGCAGCGCGTTGAATCCCACTTCGATTTGGAGCTGCGTGCCTCTGTAATGCACGACATTGTGGACATGATGCCCGAGGGCATCAAGCAGAACAAAGCTCGTACCATTCTGCAGCATTTATCGGAGGCATGGCGTTGCTGGAAGGCAAACATTCCGTGGAAGGTGCCTGGGCTACCTATTCCCATTGAGAATATGATCCTGCGTTATGTGAAGATGAAAGCCGACTGGTGGACGAACACCGCTCACTATAATCGAGAACGTATCCGGCGTGGAGCAACTGTGGACAAGACGGTGTGCAAGAAGAATCTGGGGCGACTAACGCGTCTTTATCTGAAGGCGGAGCAAGAGAGGCAGCACAATTACTTGAAGGATGGTCCGTACATATCACCGGAAGAGGCTGTGGCTATTTACACAACCACAGTTCATTGGCTGGAGTCACGTCGCTTTGCGCCCATTCCCTTCCCTCCACTTTCATACAAACACGATACCAAGCTGTTGATTTTGGCCCTTGAGAGATTAAAGGAAGCGTACAGCGTTAAGTCCAGGCTAAATCAAAGTCAGCGTGAGGAGCTGGGCCTCATCGAACAGGCATACGACAATCCTCATGAGGCATTGTCCCGCATCAAGCGTCATCTGCTCACGCAGCGAGCCTTCAAGGAGGTTGGTTATCTCTATTTCTATCTACATTTGAAATCCACGCTAAGACTTGTATTAATATCATAGGTGGGCATTGAGTTCATGGACCTGTACAGTCATCTGATACCAGTATACGAGGTAGAACCACTGGAAAAGATCACAGATGCATATTTGGATCAGTATCTGTGGTATGAGGCTGACAAGCGTCGATTGTTCCCGCCATGGATCAAACCCAGCGATACGGAGCCGCCACCGTTGTTGGCCTACAAGTGGTGTCAAGGTATAAACAAGATCTAAACAAGCTTCAGAAAAACATATTTGATGACGGTACCGGGCATTTTGGGTGTGTGATTTGTAGCAAAGTGATATGTATTTGATCATCCCCTTGTTGCAAACCTCACGCCGAAGGTGACCTGCGAAATACACAGTGTTATGGAAAAAAGAAAGTGCTCTTCAAGGGATATAGAATCCCTTTAATGCTATCCAATCTCTTATTTAGATATATCGTATTGTTCTTCTTAACAGGCATTAACAATCTGCAGGATGTTTGGGATGTGGGTGAGGGCGAGTGCAATGTGCTGCTGGAGTCCAGATTCGAAAAGCTGTACGAGAAGATTGACTTGACGCTGCTCAATCGTTTGCTCCGCCTAATTGTCGATCACAATATCGCCGATTACATGACGGCCAAGAACAACGTTGTGATCAACTACAAGGACATGAACCACACGAACAGCTACGGCATCATTCGCGGTCTGCAGTTCTCATCCTTCATCACGCAGTACTATGGACTGGTTCTAGATCTATTGGTTTTGGGTCTCCACCGATCCAGCGAGATGGCTGGCCCTCCCCAAATGCCGAACGACTTCCTCACGTTCCAGGACACAGTCACAGAGACGGCTCATCCTATTCGCTTGTACTGCCGCTATGTCGATCGTATTCACTTGTTCTTTAGATTCTCGGCGGAGGAGGCGCGGGATCTGATCCAGCGCTACCTTACCGAGCATCCGGATCCAAACAACGAAAATATTGTGGGCTACAATAATAAGAAGTGCTGGCCACGCGATGCTCGCATGCGTTTGATGAAGCACGATGTGAATTTGTAAGTCTCCTTTTACTCAACATCAATTTTAAAAGTGAGTAACTAATATTTTATTTTATATTACAGGGGTCGTGCAGTCTTCTGGGACATTAAAAACCGTCTACCTCGCTCTGTAACCACTATTGGTTGGGAG